ATGAGGACATGGGGAGAGGGAGCAACTGAGGAGTCTAGACTCATGGAAAGACAGGGACTGAGAGCTGGTGGCCGGGAGGCAGGCTTGCAAAATGTGCCCTTTGGTTATTTAAATGATTATATATTCCTGAGTGTTTTTTGTGTACATCCCCCCACCAAAAAGAAAGAAAGGAAATGGAAGCAAAAAAAAAAAAAAAAGTATACAAATAAATGAAGAGGCATACCATGTTGAATTGCAGATTCAATATAATAAAGATGTCAATTTCCCCCAAACTGATACACAACCAGGTTTAAGGTAATTGCTATCAAAACCTCAGCAACATTTTTTTACAAACGCAACGAAGACTATTCTGAAATTTACATGGGAAGGTAAAGGTTTTAGAAGATCTACACGTATTCTGAAAACTTGGGCAGAATCACATTTCCTGATGTACTGTCTAGCTACTGTGATCAAGAACGGCATTGGTTAAAAAAGAAAAAAGAAAGATACACAGATCAACTGAACAAAACAGAGAAACCAGAAACAGACTCACATGGACAGGCCCAACTTATTTTTACACAGACACACTTGTAATTCAATGGAGGAAAGGTCATTCTTTTAATACATGATGATGCTGGAGCAAGTGGACATCCATAAATCCAAACCCAAACCCACTAGCATCAAGCCAATTCTAACTCAAAGTGACCCTATAGGACATGGCAGAACTGCCCAGTAGGGTTTTTGAGCTTGTAAATCTTCATGGACGTAGACGGCTTCATCTGTCTCCTGTGGAGCAGCTGGTGGATTTGAATCACCGACCTTTCAGTTAGCAGCCCAACACTTAACCCACTGTGACACCAGGACTCCTTGTACAGCCACAGGCTGAGAACATGGGAAAACATGAATCTTGACACAAGTCTCACACCGTATACAGAAATAACCTCAAAATGCATCATGGACTTAAATGTAAAAATTGTACTACAAACACTTTAGAAGAAGCATGTTAGACAATCTTTGGGATCTAAGACTAGGCACAGAGTTCTTACACTTGACAACAAAAGTATGAGCCCACAGGAATAAAAGCTGATCAACCGAACATTATCAAAAATTAAAAACGTTGGCTCTTCAATAGACCCTGTAAAGAGAATGAGAAGACAGATTACAGACAGGGAAAAAAGATCTGCAAACCACACATCCGAAAAAGGGATTAGTATCTAGAATACATAAGGAGCTCTGGTAGCATAGTAGTTACAGACCTCAAGGTCAGCAGTTCGAAACTACCAGCTGTTCGGCGGGAGAAAAGATGAGGGTTTCTGTTTCTGTAAAGATTTACAGCCTCGGAAACCCTGTACAGGGTTGCTATGAGTTGGAACCAACTCCACGGCACACAGCCACAACCACCATCTGAAACTCAACAGCAAAAGAGCAAACAATCCTTCTTAGAGCACATGCAAAAGGAGTGGACAGATATTTCATCAAAGAAGACACACAAGCACATGAAAATCTTCAACATCATTAGCCACTGGTGATCATGTGCTATGGAGTTGGTTCCGACTCATAATGACCCTGCATGGGTTTCCGAGGCTGTAAATCTTTATGGGAGCAGAAAGTCTCAGCTTTCTCCTGCAGAACAGCTGGTAGTTTCGAACTGCTGACCTTGAGGTTAGCAGCCTGAATCGTAACCACTATGCTCCCAGAGCGCCTTTCATTAGTCACTGCTGCTGTTGTCACGTACCGTCAAATCGGTTCCGACTCAGAGTTACAAGGAGCAGCTGGTAAGCTTGAACCACCAACCTTGTGGTGAAATTCAATCTTGCAGTTCAGTGATTTAACCTGCAGTGCCACACCTGGACTCCTTCATTAGCCATTAGGGAAATGCCAATGAAAACTACCATGGTAGACTGGTGGAGGTGGTGATGTGCCGGGGAGTCGGTTCTGACTCACAGCGACCCTCTATAGGATTTCCGAGGCTGTAAATCTTTACGGGAGCAGAAACTGTCATCTTTCTCCGGCCAAACCGCTGGTACTTTCGGACTTCTGACCGAAAGATTAGCAGTCCGACTTGTAACCACGATGCTACCAGAGCTCCTATATACTTAAAAGAATGATTAAGATAAAAAATGGTGACAATGCCAAATGCTGGCAAGGATGTAGAGAAATACAATCAGTGCTGGTGGGAATGTAAACTGGTACCGCAACTTTGGAAAACAATTTGACCACTGCTTTTCCACCAGTGAAAGGCGGGCAGGTGGAAACGAGAAATGAGATGGTTATGAAGGGAACATAGGGATCGTTATGAGGATGAAAACGTTCTGTGTGTTGACAGTGTAGCTGTCAGTGTCAGTAGTGTGCTTGTGACATCTCGCGATAGTTTTGTAAGATGTTACTATTGTGGGAAACTGGGCAAATCTATTATTTTTTTACAATGGCATATGATCTACAATTACCTCAAAATAGAAAAAGTTTAATTAACAACAACAAAAATCTCTTTAAAAGCCTCCAAATATAAGGATATAAGTCTTTGCCGTGTATTATAAAAAGAAGAGATAAGCACATTGCACTATAGTTTTGTAAGATGTTACTATTGTGGGAAACTGGGCAAATCTATTATTTCTTACAATTGCATATCAATCTACAATTACCTCAAAATAGAGAACGTTTAATTAACAACAACAACAAAAACCTGTTTAAAAGCCTCAGCATGTAAGAGGATATAAGTATTTACCATGTATTATAAAGAGTAGAGGTAAGTATTTCAACTTTGCAAAAATTGAAATTCATTTCAGACACCAATGGTGATTTAAACTTGAGACACGAATTAAGGAGCTGGAGAGAAAAGAAGAGGTTTCCAGGTACAAATCTCAATTCAGTTTCCTGGAGGGACAAAGAAAACCATCAGAAAGCTATGAAGGTATAGACAAAGCTATCAATGTAAAATAGACTGCAGGTCTCCAAATATTTAATTTTACGGAAGTCTAAACTTTCCAAGCCGTTTGCACTGCGAGGTCGGTGGTTCAAGCTCACCAGCTGCTCCTCGGAAACCCTACACCAGGGTCGCTATGGGTCAGAACCAACTTGGTGGCACTTAACAACACCACAAACTTTCCAAAAGGAATTTATTCCTCTCAACCGGTCCCAACAGCTGTGGAACTGACTCCTACTCATGGCAACCCCAGATGTGGCCGAGTAGAACTAACTGTGTTTCACAGGGTTTTCAATGGCTGATGACCAGACCTTTCTTCCTAAGTTTCTCTGGGTGGACTCAAACCTCCAATCTGTTAGTTAACAGTGGAGAGTGTTAACCCTTTGCACCACCCAGGGACTCCCATTCCTCTATAATTGTTGTAGGTACTGTCGAGTTGGTTCTGGCTCACAGCGACCCCGTGCATAACAAATGAAACATGGCTCAGTCCTGCATTATCCTCACAACTGCTGTTTTTATAAGAGGCCACATACGTAACATCTGCTTCTAACAGTTAGACACGTTAACTGTTGTTAAAAACGTTTGAGCCTACGGTTGCTGCCACTGTGTCGTTCAATCTCCTTGAGGGCTTTCTTCTCTTTCACTGACCCACCACTCCACCAAGCACAATGTCCTCTCCAGGGACAGATCTCTCCTGACAACATGCCCAAAGTATGAGAGATGACATCTTGTCATCCTGCCTTCTAAGGAGCATTCTGGCTGCACTTCTTCCAAGACAAATTTGTTTATTCTTCTTGCAGTTCATGGAGTTTCTTCCTCTTTAAATTGATATCTCAATCCTCGGGGGTGGGGGGGTGGATATGGTATTTTTCATCTATGTGCTTACCTTATAGGAGAACTTATTCTGGAAGGGTGGGTCACCGCTATAAATCAGGGGAAGAGAGGTGGGGATGGAGTACTTGAAAGTTATTGGCGGAAGAAGTAATGCACTAGGGAAACTGTGTAGACTGGACATGCTACTAGACCACCAGCACGTACGCCCTCATCCTGCACACGAGTCCTACTTCTAGTTCCTTTACTGGACTTCAAGTAAAGCACATAATCTCTGTGCCACAATGTCCTCCTAAAGCAGAAAGAGTATTTTTCAACTACCCAACCAACAGGATATTTGCAAGGATAAACATCTGCACAGCAGGGAAATGTTTGAAAGAAAGGGGCTAAGGGAATCTTGGTTCGCAAACGTGGCTCATTTCAAACATTTATGTCCTTTTTATATGAGGAAACATGCACAACGGAGGACAGTGATTTTGAAGGAGATGGCAGAAAACAACAGGCAATATGAATGAGAAGATTTGGAGAGTCAACATCCCAGTTTTACTTTCTCAGTTGTCTTGTATTGAACGTACTACGGGAAAATTCAGTTATGGTGAAATCCTATCGTCCTACGCTCCACTCGAGTCAACAAAACAAATAAACAACCAACAACTGGAGTCTGGGGAGCTGTCTTTCTTACGTGACACTGGAAGATGTTAAGAACATGGAAATAGGCAGTAATGTACTCTTGAGTGTCATGGATTATAGCACTAATTTAATTTCGTCTGGTATTTTGGTTGCTCACTCAAGGGTACTTGCCTGCACTTGAATGTAAGCTCTTTGATTGCAAGAACCAGGATCCATACTCATCTTTATACCGCCCACCATCCATCATTCTGCATGTAGTCGGCACTCCACGAATACCAAACTCAATTAATGTGCACATGTTCATTCACTCCCACCAGCTGAGAGGAATACACTGAATGTGTTCCAGAATAGACATGAGTCTCCTGACAGTCACAGAGCCGCAGCCCTGTAAGTCACTGAAAAAATGTTTTCCATTTCTGGGGGTTTCATCTTTGCGGTAAGGAAAAATAAGCGAAATTAGATGAATGCAGATTTTTACTGCTCATCTGAAAGAAAAGTCCTGAGCCTGTGAGGAACTTCCAGCTGCTACTAATGATGCTGTAGATAAGTACAGGACTGCTAACCTGAAGGTTAACGGTTCAAACTCACCAGCCGCTCCTCCGAAACCCTACACAGTTTTTGAACCTTTGCTACTTACCAGTGTCCAGTCTTGTCTTGACATGTTGATACCTTGGGTTCTGTGGTATCCTTTTCGTCAGATACTAAACAAAACAAAACAAAAAATCACCATTACTTGGGTGAATGTAAGGATAAAGGTGGCAATATTCAGAACAGTTAGATAGTTAAAAAATGGAAAGTATAATAAAATGTCACAGAATTGAAAAACGGAAGCACAGAACCATGGCCCACAGCGTTTCCACAGGTGAAAGTGGTTATCTTTCTTCCGTCAACATATTTCCATATGTTGTCAAAACTCTCTCATAGCACTATGTAGGAAAAACCATCCTAAGGATCATTTACTGAGTCAAAATCGGTCTGTCTCTTCTGTCCATCTGTCTGATCTAACGCTGCTATAACAGAAATACCCCAGGTGGATGGCTTTACACAAACAGAATGTCTCCTTTCACAGTTTAGGAGTCTATAAGTCTGAATTCAGAGCGCCAGGTCTTTGTCCCCTTTCAGCATCTGTAGGCCCAGCATTCCTTGGTGATCTCCATGTTTCTTGGCATGAACTGGACTGCAAGCTCGTTTCAGTCACTCCTTGGAAACCCTACACAGCAGGGGGATGGGAAACGTCCAGCCTGAGAGTCATATTGTTGTTGTTGTTAACAACTCTTGTCGAGCTGATTCTGACTCATAACGACCCTATATAGGGTTTCCAAGGAGCAGCTAGTGGGCTTGAACCGCAGACCTTGTGGTTTGCAGTCTAGTGCTAATTCTACAGCGTCACTCCAGAAGTCCATGAGTCATACGTTGTTGTTGTTGTTGTTGTTGTCAGGTGCCATCGAGTCGGAACCAACTCATAGCAATCCCATGCACAGCAGAACAATGTCTGATCCTGGGCCAACCTCACTACCGCTGCCACAAGTCAGTACCCACTCATAGTGACCCTATGCACAACAGAACAAAACACTGCCTGGTCCTGGGCCAATCTCACAATTGTTGCCCCACTTGAGCCCACTGATGCTGCCACTTTGCCAATCCATCTCGCTGGGGGTCTATCTTATATGACTCTTGTATGAGCCATGTAAGGTCCACAAAATCATTATGTATATAACCCTACCAAGGCAACTGTAATTCCAGTCATCACTTCGTTGTTGTTAGGTGTCATTGAGTCAGTTCTGACTAATAGCGACCATGTGGCTAGTGAGCTTGAACTGCCAACCTTGCAGTTTAAACTGACCTTGCAGTCCAGTGCACTAACCCACAGCACCACACCAGGACTCCAGCCATCACATTTTTTTGTTGTTGTTGTTGTTAAGTGCTGTTGAGTCAGTTCTGACCAATAGCAACCCTGAATGAGGTTTCCAAGGAATGGCTGGTGAGCTTGAACTGCCGACCTTGAAGTTTAAACCAACACTGCAATCCAAAATTGCATTAACCCACAGTGCCACACTCCAGCCATTACATTAGGAGGGAGTCAATTAAATGTTTGACAAAATATAGCAGGCTAATTTTTAATTTGTTAATTTTGTATGGTCCACAAATGATGTTATAAATTTTTGCAGAAAAAAGCGCCCTATCCCTGCTATCAAGATGTATTGGTCATTTCTGGTGATTGGAATGCAAAGGTTGGGAGCAAAGAGAAAGGATCAGTGGTTGGGATATATGGCCTTGGTAATAGAAATGATGCTGGAGAACGCATGATAGAATTCAGCAAAACCAATGATTTGTTCCTTTCAAATATCTTCTTTGGACAGCATAAGAGACCTCACCAGATGGAACATACACATGGACCTCACCAGATGGAACACACAGAAATCAAATTGACTACATCTGCGGAAAGAGACAATGGAAAAGCTCCATATTATCAGTGAAAACAAGGCCAGCGGCAGACTGTGGAACAGACCATCAATTACTCATGTACAAATTCAAACTGTCGCTGAAGAAAATGTAAACAAGTCCACGAGAGCCAAAATATGACCTTGAATATATCCCACCTGAATTTAGAGATTATTTAAATAAGAACAGATTTGATACATTAAACTCTAAAGACTGAAGACCAGAAGAGTTGTGGGATGACATTAAGAACATCATACAGAAAGAAAGCAAAAAGTAATTGAGAGGACAAGAAAGAAGAAAAAGGTCAAATGGATGTCAGAAGAGACACTGAAGCTTGCTCTCTGGCGTAGAGATGCTAAAGCAAATGGAAGAAATAAGGAGGTCCAAGAGCTGAGCAGAAAATTTCAAAGATCAGCTCGAGAAGATCAAGCCAAATATTACAACAAAATGTGTAAAGATCTGGAATTAGAAAGCCAAAAAGGAAGAACACGCTCAGCATTTCTCAAGCTGGGGGAACTGAAGAAAAAATTCAAGCCTCGACTTTCATTATTGAAAGATTCACTGGGAAAATTATTGAATGATGCAGAAAGCATCAAGAGAAGATGGAAGATACAGAGTAGACATGGATGGGCAACTTAGACATTGGCTACCCAAAATGGGGAGGGCTACAAAGGCAAGAAGTGACTGGCTCTCAAGCTTTCAAGAGGGAACCTAAATCCAGAGGGTGTGGAGGAAGGTAGAATCTCCACTGAGCAGTATCCCATCTATCCAGGCGGGGCTGATGAAAGGAAATGCAGATAGGTCTCTTGTGATACAATAGTGAATAATTGTTATCAGGACTGATTGTAAGGGTTGGAAATGTAAAGGTAGACTTTTGTAGCAAGGAGGAGAGTGATTAACTTTTCAGTCTAGGAGCAGAGGTCCTTGGGACCATCAAGGGAAAAGAGTGGAGAGTGGGACCCTACCCAGAGAAGCAGTGATGCCTGAGATGGAGGCAGAGATGATGACGTGGAGAAATGGAGCAGCTGGGGACGTTAGGCACAGAGAAGGAGAGGGGCTGTGTGCTGATGACGGGTGTGTGTGTGTGTGTGTGTGCTGATGACGGGGTGGGGTGGGGCGGGCAGGCTTGTAGTGTATGCTGTTTGGTTGGTTATTGATGCATGGAGGGAATTGTAACCAGGGCAATGAAACGATATACGATAGGATGAATGTAAAACTAATGTTCTCCCATGTAAACT